ATATAAAATATAAAATATATATATATATATATATATATATATATATATATATATGTGTGTGTGTGTGTGTGAAGAAAAGTACACAATTAGTTGTCAGTCATCAAATGGATAAAAATGCAGGGAAAGCACAAATATTTGGTAGAAGGGGGAACTTCATAAGAGGGTGAAACACACATTCAAACAAATATTGAACATCAATATTCAGACTTATCTTGTGACTGTAAACGCAGCATTACAAATACACCACCAGAAATCCTTAGGGAAGACTGATTAAACTTACAACAATAATATCCACTGCTACCAACCTGCTCCAGAGTACATGGCATATAAAGGAAACTGATTGCAATCAGAACAATGACAAAATTAAAAAACATATAGCAATAATTTACACAACTAGCTCAATGTAGTGTACCTATCGGTGTAGTGTGAAGGAGTCATTTAGTGTTTGGGGAATGGAGGTGAGAGCCAGAGCTCACTGTAGTGACAGCCGGTTTCCTCTAGGGGCAGCCAAGTGGAGTCCACAGGACCTTACTTTGTTCTTGATCAACTATAGTGATGATCTGAGTGCAAATATATTGGAGGGTGCCGCCTTGGACAATACCTGAAAAGAAAGAAATGACTTGTTGGAAGCATAAATCACACTGGAAAGATAAAATATGTGTGTGCGTGTGTTGTGAAAAACCTAATAAAAGGGGTATTACAGTATCACCGATAGGTTTGAGGTTTTTTTATTTGCAGAGGAACTTGATTGCAAACAAACCTGTGAAAAACTTGCTGTACTCTTGCTCTATCTTTTGCGCACTTTCAAACTGCTCCTTGGAATGCTTTTGAGAAACTTTGTCCCGCAGATAAATGGGATCCTTCTGCTCCCTGTGAACGACACAAAACATTTATTCAGTCCAAAACACCAGTGGGCAACTGTAATTTGTTTCTTTTTGTTTGATTCTCTTCTGTAAAACGTCAAATCATTTATAGATTTATAGATTGTAAAACATAACTCGTAAATATATCTGTTTAACTGAGGTCCTCATTTTGTTCTTGAGACAATTATTTATACGTTTGTGCTTGGAGGAAAACAAAGCATTTGTGACCAAATAGTTAAGTGTAAAAACTTTTCCAGCACAGGAATACTACACTACCAAGACACTGCCATGATCATTTTTCCTTAAATTAGATTAAAAACATGTTGCTACTTACTTTATCTGCTTGGCATTTTTGTAGCGGATGAAGACGACAATGGGATAAATGTGAACGCTGTGCAGCCTTTCAATAGCGTGCGGAGCAATGTCAAGCAAACAGTGACAGCCCTGTATTCAAAACAATTACAAGATTAAAAAATAAAATCACTTTTATCCAAACCTTTAACATTTGAGGTTATAAACAGAATTCTTATTCTTCATTTGGTCTTATCTAAGTCTAAAAAGCAGCAATCGTGATGACTCATATTGAGCAAATGCAGAGATTAAAGACAAGACCAAAGCCATTTCCTGATAAAATCTGACGAGACAGAAAGGGAACTGATGAATACCTTATCTGTTATTTCTTTTATCGACGCTACGGTGGTCACGTCAAAATGTCCACTCCTGCGCTTGTAGTCGATAAAGAGGCAATCTTTGACACCGCGCTCGATGGCTTGCTGGGAAGCCTTCATCACCTCTGCAGGTGGGGCACAAACAGTGCAAGAGTGAAAAATGTGTGACATTAAACAAAATATAACATCCCAAGATTGTGAAGTAAACAGATTTCATCATCATACTTTAGATAAAGCAAACTTTAAGTGTAGAAATATTAGGATTATAGATTGCCTCGAGTTAAACTCACCCAGCACACATCTGCAGAACTTCCCAGGAGACTCTTTAACCAGCATCTCCTTCACCGGGTCAGAAAGAGGCCCGAGTACGAGCACCGGTCGAGGAGAGGTGCAGTCCACCTTCTGGACCCGCTGATACGCCAGGCTCACACAATCTAACAAAGACACAGGATAAATTTGATGCTAGTTGCCAAGTCTACCCATAAGATCAACAGCTTTCTTCTTACCATCAAAGAAAGGGATGGAATCGGTGCTGATGGTGTCCAGAGCCACCATCTCTTTACTGTCTTTGGAGCTGCTGCGTTTGTGTTTGGGTTTCCTCCTGAAAAAGGATCTGCGGGCTGCTGCAGAGAGAGTCTTACTGGAATCTTCCTTCATTTCTGTCACACTGTGTCTGCGATAAAACTCTTGGTCCATCCTGTCACACAAACGGCAAACGTATTTAAAGTCCTGTGATCCACACAGAGAAGTCCATGTGTGGATCAGTGTGTTGAGGATGAGTTCTGAGGAACAACAGTCTTCACACATTGCCTTCAGAAGATAAGGACAACAACACAGTATAATATATACATAGAAGTCAAATGCATCATATATGATATATGACCTACAGCAGGGGTCTGCAACATGCGGCTCTGGAGCCACATGCAGCTCTTTGGCCCCTCTGCAGCGGCTCTTTCAAGCTTTGACCAAAACTGACATAAAACTGAATTTTATTGGTTGTTATACAAACAACAACAACAACAAAATACTAGTTTTAGCTGTTTTCCTGTCATTTCCTTTGCAAATATCTGAATGCTGGAACTAGTACAAGGATTAAAACATACTAACTTTGTTTTTTGTTTTTTTTAATGGTTTGTAAGCTTTTTTTAATACTAACTTTATGCTTTATTTTTTCTCCACTAAATATTTTTTTCACAATAATAAAAAAAATCACATAGGTCTGCATAGTTTTTTTTTTCTCCCCCCTCTTTACAAGAATCTGGTCTTTTCATTTGTCTTAAATGATGTTAAAGCTGAAAATATGTAATGATTTTTTTTAATTTATTGATATTTTTACTGGGGACAAAAGCCACCTCCAACAAGCCTAAAGTGGCCCATGGGCCACCAGTTGATAATCACAGTTAGCAGGTTGTTGCGGCTCTGGACATTTTTAATTTAGTAAAATTAGGTGTAAAAATGGCTCTTTCGATCGTAAAGGTTGCAGACCCCTGACCTAGAGGGTTTTTACAACTGTTATCAACTGTCTTCGAGCTCATGCATGTGTAAAGCTGTGCACAATATTTCCACCCACATGTACTTGCTGGGGATCTGTCCTCTCTGGATCTGCTGTGCGTTCTCATCTAGCTGCCACGCCATCCAGGTCCCAAAGCTGCCCTTTGGTAAAGAGTCATCCACATAAAGGATGTCATCCTTTTTAAAACTGAGGTCGCCTTCAGCCTCCCCCGTCCTGTCGTAAAGTGCTCTGTTGAGAGGGAGAAACAAATATAAATGGATAGTTTTTAAAAGAAGGGCCGCACGGAGAATGAAGTTGATAAAAATGAGAGAGGAGGTGAGGTTTTGAACAAAGTATGTTTTTTTTTCTCTTGCTAGAGCCTTGTAAATTATTCCCAAGTGGCTAATCTGACATCTAGGCAAGCTGAGTGTATTTACTGCAGATGACGCCAAAAACATGTCTGCCTATAAGACAAGTGACTGCAGCAGCTGCAGCAACAAACTCCGTCACGCTCCCATCAATAAAACCTAACTATTTTAGAGCCTAATTCTCCAGTCATGTATAATGTAGTTCCAATGACCTGGAAAAACACACAGAACAAAAAGGGATTAGATAACCTAATTTTGTGGCGTGATTAGTATCTCTGTAGTCACGCAGTGGATCTGAGACATAATTGGTTGGATGAGAAGGAGCCCAGCTTGTCCAAAGGGCTCTCTGGTGATGAGCCTATATATAGAATGATGGAGAGCTGAATCTGCCATGGAACAACTCAAGTCTTTTTACAGCGGTTAACCAAGAAAAGAATCAGAGAATGACTTCATGTTTAACTGGTTGAGACATATGTGTGCATACCTAATGTAAAAGCCATCTCCGGGAACATCTTTGATCAAGCTGAAGTCATCGAGGCGATGCTGCACCTTTAAGGTGACCGTCTCCGCAGGCTTCAGCATTTCAACGTACACTTCTTCTGCAGTCTTATTCTTCATATTCACCGAGTTGTACTGGGGGAACAAAAAGGAGGAAATAAAGAAATGTAACAACAAAGCACATCGTAAATGATGTCAGAAGAAGAGTTGATCAAGGTTTACACTCTGCAATAATTTGGCCTGGCTGTGAAGGCTCTGCAAGTAAAGAGCTACGTTTTCTCCAAGCTTTCAGCGCAATTAAAGTGTTGCAGTATTGATTTGTGCCATGTACGAGGGGGAGAAAACAAACAGGAAGATTGACGGACACGCTGAAGCTGTACAGCCCAGCTGCATGGCATTTCAGACAGCAGACTCGTTGCGACAGAAAGTTAAAGTAGGAACATGTCGTGGAATGCCTATCATGAATTTGTGGGCTCCTAGAAAGATTACAAGCGTGAAGGGAGACTGACGAGATCAATGAAGCATAATGACATGAAGGAAAATGCCAGCATCCACTGCCAGCTATCAAGTTTAAAGCAGCACCAGAAAAGAAATCTTTTTAAGAGAAGAAGAAAACAAACTTTAAAAAGTGAGACTATACTCATATAACTTTGTTTAAAATTAAAAAAAAAATGTTGATTTAACTTCCAAATTGTCCACATGAGAAAATAAACTGTTACCATGTCATCAAGCAGCATACACTGTTGGTTTGCTGCAGTTTTGTGTTCATATTTATGAAATTAAAATGTCACAAATAAATGGCAAAAGGAAATAAGATTGTGTTTATGTGTGGCTGCTCTTTTTTATAAACTTAAGTTGGTACCTCCAGGATGAGGTCCCCAGGAAGCAGCCCATCAGGGCCTCTGGCAGGACTGTCCTCATCCAGACTCTCTATGTAGACACCCTGCAGGTTGCCCCCACAGAGCATGACTCCCACTTCCACCCCGGGTCTTCGCACCGTCACAAGCCGAGGCTCCCCCATCTTCCTGCTGCCCTCTGATGGCATTCTGGAGGCAGAGAAATGTCCGGTACTGTCGTCAAGAAATATACATAGTACTATTTCTTATTTCTTAATAAGTATACAGTAGTCCCTGGTTTATCGCGGGGGATCCGTACCCTGAAGCCCCACGATAAGTGAAAAACCACTAAGTAGGACTAGTAGTCCAAGTAGTAATTTATTTTGGTGTGTGTATGTATGTATATACATATATATATATATATATA